GGGGGGATACCCCCATTGCCCTACCCAGCTGCCAGCCCCATCCACTTCCTCTACCCCTCCAGGGACCCAGTCTTGGGCCCCAGGGCTTTGCTGGGCCAGGCCTCCGGCCTCCTGGCTCAGGATCTGGTCTCCTAGGCAACAGCCACACTACTCCCCAGAGCACCCCCTCCCCCACCCTCTCCCTGGCCATAGGCACAGGCTGTACCCAGCTCCCAGGGCACCACGCCAACTGAGACTGAGCTCTGTGCCACTTGGAGCTGATGGGAGAGGCAGAGACCCTCTGGGCTCCTGAAGCACAATGCAGATAGTAGGTAACCCATCCCTAGTTGCGTGTGCAGGGCTGATGCCTCCTCCACGTGGGAGCAAAACCTTCATAGCTGGCATTCACTTTCACTTCCTGGGAGGAGCCCCATGGCAATGCCCGCCCTTGCCCATGAACAAGGAAGAGCTTGTGAGGCTCCCAATAGGTTCCAAATATAAGCGTGAGCTGTGACCAACAGCTACTGGTGCATGTGCCCTGAAATGTCATGTCACATGCACCATGGCTTCTGGACAACACGCTGGTGGTCAGAAGTGAACAACCTGGTAGGGAGAGGAGGGAAATGGCAAGGCTTGGATTCCACATGCTCAGGTGAGGGTGGCTGAGGGGACACTGGGGGGCACTTGAGACTCCCAGCACTGTCAAGGGAGGGGCCACGTGCCTGCTGCCTGTAATTACTCTGCTCTGAATCACCTCCCCCTTTCAAAGTGGGCATCTTTCCATTGAGGTGCCTAATTCCCTGCCGCATGGGAACATGACCTCATCTCCTGGGCAAAGGTAGGCAGCAGGCTTGTTGGCCTCATGCCCATCCCCCCAGAGGTGCTTAAAAGGCCCAAGCTCCACTCTCTCGGGCCCAGCCAGGTGACCCTTCCTGTTGCCTAGGAGTTGGCACGACCTAGTTGCCAGACCCATTACCTGTTCTCCTCTGGGTCTGACCCACACTCCACCTTGCTTGGCTTCTGTTCCATTCACTTTAATTCCATCCAGGATGCCCTCCAGCACGCCAAGAGACTGGGGTGGGCACACTGGCCCCCCCGGCACGCCCACAGGCCGCCCACCCCCCGCCACCCAGGCCCTAGGGCCCAGCACCCATGGTGCCTGCCTCAGCACTTGGCCTTTCACACCATGCCCTGCGCCCCAAGGGGGGCGGGCGGTGAGAGGGGCCAGGGAGTGGCAGATAGTGGGGTTGTGGGGGAAGCCGGGTCTGTGGGGGGGTCCTGGGCTGGGGGAGTAGCTTCGGAATCTTGTCCTGTCCGGAGGTCCCTGCAGAGAGAGGAAAGAGGCAGGGATAAGGCGGCGCCATGGTGGGGCTGGGTGAATAGGATTCCTTTGGTGCCAACATTTGGGGGCTCGTAACGAGATGGTGGTAGTCATGGAGGGCAGGCACCAGGACAACCCTTCAGATTAACAGACAGCAGGCAAGACTGGAGAGCCACATCCTGCTCCCCAGACATGGAAAGGGATGGAGGGAAAGAATGAGGTCACCCATGTACCTCGTCTCAGTCCTCACATTCCAAGTGCCTGGCCCTTAATAGGCGTCTATTAAACATCAGCTATTGTTACCACCCCCCAGTTTCCCTAAAACTCATCAGTATTACAGGGCAAGAGGCCACCAGAGATGGGCAGCTTCAGCCCAGGCATGGGGGGTACTGGTGAAGGAAGTGTGGCTTGTGGGGGCAGCATGCAGGGATCCTGAATGCCCACGTGGGTGCCTTCACGGAGAGGGGCATTGCAAATAGTAGGGAGACGACCCCCCCGGCTGCTGGCTCAGTTACGACTCCCCAGTCCCGGCCCCCCAGGGAGCTTCCCATACAAGGTCCCGAATCACACTTCCCAGTCTGAGGACCAGACTTCCCAGTCGGTTTAGCTGAGCTGCCACCCACCAGGATGGCAAGAGGAGGGGAAAGGAAACTAACCCGCGTTAATGGAATAGAGAATATAGGCCCTCTGGTATCAGAGCTGCACAGGTGAGGAAACAAAGCCTCAGAAAGCCCGACCATTCACTCGAGTTGGCACAGCTAGTGAGCAGCCTGCCTCCGATGCTTGCCTTGTCCTGCTACCTGGGGTCCAGGGCAGTGCCAACCTGGGCCAACCATTCCCCCCATGCTGCTCCGCTGACCCCAGCCTGCAGGCCCGAGGCTCCGTGTCTGCACACACAAGGCAGGTGTGGGCACGTGAGAGGGGACAAAGGTGCAGCTCTCCGCACACAGCCTCCATCGAGTGGCTGCTGCACCAGAGTCGTTGCCCCTGGGCCCCCCCGGCCCCACCCCTAGGAACTGATAAGGAGCCAGGGTGGGAGGGGCAAGGAGAGATAAGTCAGGCCATTGGGCAGGGTAGGACCGGGCTGGACCATGGGACAGGGCCTCTGCACTCAGACAAGTCCCCATCCTGGGGAGCAGGGCAGTAGTACAGAAGGGTGGCCTACTCTGCTTTCGATGCCCCCGCAGACCAGAACTGGGCACTGGGGGCTGGACAGGAGACATGGGGTGGAGGGGTGCGAGCAGGGAGCCTTAGCCCAGGGAGCCGTCAAGAAAGTAGGTCAAGTTTTTCTTGGCTTGCGGAGAAATTCCTGTTATAAATTTATAATGGCGTAGCCAGCCCTAAGGGGTGGAGATGGGGGGAGAAGGAGTGGGTGGGGATGCCCAGAGCCTGGGCATAGGGGCCTGCTGCTCTCAGCCAGAGCAGTGAGGGGCTGGGGGCCGAGGCAGGCGTGGGCCTTGGGCTGGACAATAGAGGGCTATTTTCTGTCGCCTCTGTTTCCACTTCTATCTGTGCCCAGTGAAGCTTCCTTTGGTCTGTCTGTCTGCATCTGAATGTCTCTCTCTCTCTCTCTCTGGGTCTGGGTGTCTCCCTGTCTCCCCCACCCCCCAAGACTGTGCCTCGGTGCTTGGCACACCCTGGCTGCGGTGCTGCCCCCGCCCGTCTCCTGCCCACCTGGCATACTGCCACCACTTGTTTACAGAAGCTGGAAAAATCCACTCGCCAGCCTGAGGCCCGAGTGCCCCCGGGGAGGGGAGGAGGCAGGCACAGGAGTGGGCATGCTGAGAGAGGGGCAGCCGCGCGAGCAGGCAGCCGCGCGAGCAGGAGGCAGGTGAAGGGAACCGGGGTGTGTGGGAATGGGTATCAGCGGCTACGGGCCAGACCAGGCAGGGAGCACCGGCGGCAGCACATGGCATGGGCAGCTCCTGCCCCAGGCCACAGCTCTGGAAGACCCCTCCCCCTGACTTCTGCTACCGCCAGTTGCTACAGGGCACACCTGGGGCAGTGCCAACCTAAGCCACCATGTTTTTTTTCCCTTCCCCCGACCCAGCCTGGCCTTAACTCCAAATGTGGCTGGGCACTGCCAAGGGCTTGCACGTGCCTGCTGCAGGGGGTGGAGGGAGGAGGCCCCCACTCTGCCTCACCTCTATGCTGAGCCGAACGGTGCCTGATGCCACCCAGGCTCCACTGAGCCCCTGGTAGTGGGCAGGGAAGCAAGGTCCTGCCCTCACTGCTTAGGGCACCCTTGCCTGGCACCTAGCAGGAGGCTGGAACCCCTGGGGAGTCCTTGTCATCTCTCTGGGGACATACCTGGGCCTCTGAGGCGACAGGGCAGGCAGAGGGCCCAGCATGCGGGGAGGCACATAGCACATGTGCCTGTGTTAGCTGTGGGCAGTGGGGCAGGGGGGCGGGGCAGAGATACCCATGCTGAAGGGCAGCCTCTCTCCCCTCCTCCTGGAGTCCTCCTCAATTCCCCCAGTGCCAGCCTGGCACATCCCCTGCAGAGGAAGACGATCAGCATCCCCCCAAGAGGCAGAGGGCTGGAGCTATGGGGCTCTGAGACTAGGCCGGACAGCCGGCAGGCAAGGCCCACCTGTTGGCTGGCCTGGCCACCCACTCCCTCTTTGTCAGATAAGAGATGCCTGGTGGCAGTGTGGGCAAGGTGCCCGCGGAGGGGGAAGCATTTCATTAAGCTTAAGTGCTTCTGCAATGGGGGGACTGAGACAAGAGGCCAATGCGGCATCCATGGGCACCATGCCATGTTCCTGCTGCTGGACTGTCCCACTCCGCAGTCCTGTGGACCCAAGGGACTCCCCGGAAGGACTCCTAGGGCTGCCAGAGGGGACTCTCTGCCCCAGAATCCAGCCCCCAATTCTGTACCCACCACTCTCCTGAGTGTCTGCTCTTGGCTTTGGCCCCACCTGTCAGGGCCCGTGAACTTTGTCCTTAATGCTCTACGGAAAGCCCAGCCCTCCTCCTTGCCAACCACAGAGGGAAAGACTCACATAGAGAGAGGGGGGCTGAGAAAATGGGAGAAAGAGAAGAAGCAGAGAGGTGAAAGGGACGATGGGGGAAGAGGGGGAGAAGGATGAGGAGAGGCAAGAACAAAGAGATGGGCAGGGGTGGGGGCAGAGGCAGGGATGACAATGAAGCCAAGGGAGAGGAAGAAAGGCAGCAAGGAGATGGGAGTGGAGAGAGAAGGGTGAGGGAGAAAAGAGGACAGAGAAGGGAAGGGGAGACAAAGGCAGAAAGGTAACAAAGAAAGATGGGTGGGGGGTGCTTCATGGAGGCTGGGGGGAGGGGAGAAGAGAAATGGTTTCCACGGTGACAGCTGGTTCTTGGTGGCCTGGCATGTGGGCTATTAATAGTGCTGTGGGGAGATTCACACCTCCCTCTCCCCTTCCCCTTTGCCTGCTGCTAGGGTGGGGGGAGGTACTTCTCCCCCACTCCCAATTATCTGGCACTGACGCCCTGACTCCACACCATGGGGGCCAAGAAGGGTGGCCAGGTGGCCACTGTAGCCCAAACACACACACACACACACACACACACACACACACACACACACACAC